TTTGGAAAAGGAAGTGCAATGAAAGAGAATTGCTAATGGATATAAAAAGTGCGCTAAGCAAAACATGGCTTCTCCATCTTTCCTTCTTCGTTGTCCCTATTTAGGTCACAATGTAAAGATCTCTAGTAAAAAATATTTTAATTTTTTTTAATTTTGGAAGGCTAAAATAAAGAAAAGTAATGATAAAAAAGCATTTTTTTTTTGTTTAAACCAGTCATTCTTTGTACAATAATACTCATAGTCCACATTACTGGAGGTGTGGCAGTGCCCTTTGCCTACATACTTTAGTTAGGGGGTATGCAACTAATCAGCAACACTGTCTTGGCACACTTTTTATACATCAGCCTATTTGCTTTTTGCGGTTTACCATTTTAGGACTCATTTATACCTGTCATTGATTTCTACAGGTTTCTTGCCCGTAGCTAGACATAAAAACAGGGCAGTACCCACCCCTGAAATACACTGACCTTTAATGGAAACCTGTACTACGAGAAATATAGAGGCTGTCATTACTGGGTTTCTTAAAAAATGCTAGTTGTTTAATATTTATAATTTCATATGATCATCTGGCTTCAGTACTTTCTGAACTGGAACAAGTATGCAGATCAATAAAGTCAGACAATGAGCATTATTTAGAAGGAAAACTCAAAATGGCAGCTTCCACCTTCTCTCAGTTGAGGTTCCTTTAAGTTGACCAGATTGCATATTTTACATGCTTCCACAAGATGGAGCCATTGGTACGTCTCCAGATACTTCCGAATTTTGCAGCTCTGTAGATTAAATTGATAGGAGTCATGAATTTACATGCCGTTTTAGATGATCTTTGTGAGATTTAAACTTAAAAGTGAACCCATTAACTCAGCAGTCTCTGTGTGATGTTTTATCTTATTAAATAATGTGTCATATAAAATATATATCATTGCCAGTAAAGCCGGCAGACTGATGCAAACCACATTAAGTGCTGGGGACATAGCCGAGATCCACTTTACTTAGCGAACACAGTACTGTCTTCTATACAAGGTCCATGATGAATAGTGATGATTGCATTACAAGAATTTGCCATTACCTTATTTTTGATTTAGCAGAATATTTGTGTTCATGTGTGTCTCATCTGCAGTAAGTCATTTAGTTGAGGAATTAAGGTAAAGCTGCCCATACACCTTACAACCATCACACGACTTTCGTTGTGCGATGGTTGTAAGGTGATTAAAATTTTGTACGATCTGCCCATTTTGGACAGGCAGATCAAACTTGCGATCATCACAAGCCCTCCCTGCTGAGGGGAGGGCTTCTGATGATTGCAGTGCTGAGCGGGCAGTGTGAGCTTGTGGGCTGTGTGCGCTTGCGCACACCGTCCCGTGCGGCATTCGTCTCCCGACCATGCCAGCAACCCGACGAAAACCGTACGATTTTCGGCAGGTTTTCAAGCGTGCTCGGATGACGAATGTTGTGCGACCTTACAGTAGAAGAGGTTGCACGCTGCCCATACATCGGCCGATTATCGTACGATCGCCGGATTAATTGCGATTATCGTACGATAACAGGCAGGTGTTTGGGCACCATAAAGCTGGCCATACACCTTACAACCATCGCACGACTTTCGTTGTGCGATGGTTGTAAGGTGATTAAAATTTTGCACGATCTGCCCATCTTGGACAGGCAGATCGTACTTGCGATCATCGCAAGCAGGTGCCCACACTCCTGCTGATAATCGGCAGGTGTATGGGCACCTTAATATTGACTGATGAGTTGTAAGATGCTCTGCAAATTGGACAAATCAGAATATGTTTAGCAGGATTAAAACATGTGCTGGTTCACCTGATTTACGAACCAATCTGTCCAGCACTATGTAATAAATATGCTGCACTATTTTTAAAAGATATCCATAAAGAAGACTGAAAACTTTGCAGGCTCCTCACCAGAAATAAGGAACAGCTTATTATGAAGTGCATAGCCGAAACCCGAACACAGCATTCAAAACCCGAACTGTCCGGGTGAATCCTGGACAGGTGGCAACCCTATCTGATCCTGGTGAGCTGAGGCACAAGAGCCAATCATTTGAAAGAATGGATAGGCCGACAACCTTTCTATAAAAGGGTAGGCTCACAGCAGCCATATTGTCAGCATTTGTTGGCTGTGTTAGGAAGAGCTGACAATTCTGTGTATCGGGAGAGATATGGCTGTTTTTTATTTTGCCATTTGTACATGTCCCCCATGGCAGTGCCCGGCTTACCATGCCTTTTCCTTTTGTTTTACAATAACTTGTTTATGAGCCTTTATGGGCAAAAACATGTCTGAAGGAGGCTGCTGTATGATATATTACAGGCTACATTCACACTGGCAGCTAGACTCGGATGGATTGCAGCATTCACATGCAGCTAAATAACGCATCTGGATACAGCAACACTCTGCTATGGCCACATACAAATAAGATGAATAGCTGCATCCAGCCTGTGTGCGGCCACTACTGCCATATCTGGATGCAAGCCCCACTCGCATGAGTGGTTACATGCAAACACCAGCAGTGCCAGCTATCGATTTGTGCAGAGTGCTTCTGCAGGCCACAGCTAACCCCACACGGCATGTGCCGGGGCAAAGCTGTGCCAGCAGACAGAGGCTAATCACCTTCAAAAGCCTACAGCTGCGGCCAAATGCTGGGTCATATGTATAAGTATTTTGGCTTATTTCACGCAAATAATAATTAGCCTGAATATCATAACAATAAATTGTTGTTTTACATAAGATTGTAACTCATGCAGACTGATTCAGAAAGGGTTAGTGTACATAATCATTTGTGATCAGGGCAGTTGGAGCAGTGGTGGAACTATCACCATTGTGACCCAAGCAGCCACTATGGGGCCCAGGGCACAGGGGGGCCCAGCCAGGACCATGAACAAAAGGGTCCCCTTGATGCTGTGCAGGCCACCTGGGTCGCTATGGCATCACAGGCTGCAGAACTGTCACTGGCAGCTGTGCATTGGAATGTGCCGCTGTCCAGATCACTGACAACTTGTCAGTGATCTGTACAGCAGCGCGTTCCTCCTCACAGCCCCTGCTGAGTCAGTGACAGCCATCAGGTTTGATGGAGGAGGCTAGGCCCAGGCCACCATGGAGAAGGAAGAGACCAGGGCCGGTGGTGGAGGAGGTTGACAGCGGATCAGGGCTGACAGGTAAGAGGTGTACAGGGGTGTGACCAGCCCACGTGAGACCCTGCAGAGCACACCATAGAGATTATATGGTGGGCTCTGCAGGGTCACTCTCAGGTGGGCTTTGTGGGATCTCAGTGGGGCTATGCTGGGTCTATGGTATGTGGGGGGTTTTAAAGGAGCCATGCGGGGTCTTTAGTATGTGCGGGGTCTCAGATGGGCTCCGCATGGCCTCTGGTGGGGGTGTGCAGCAGTCAGTGGGAACGTGTTCTGGAGGTAGGTCCTATTTTTTTGGGTGGGGGAAGATGGCGGTTTTGGGGGGTGGTTGGGTCCTACAACATTTTTCTATGGGGCCCTGTGATTTCTAGTCATGCCCCTGAGTTGGAGCATACATTGCTGCCTACAATCCACTTGAAAGTCCACACACTGCATTCCAGATCTGCCAGTGACACTTCACAAACTGAAGAAATTCACAGACACTTAGTGTGTACACTGACCCTAAGTCAGTTTAGAAGGTGATTTATGATGGGCAAAATGCTGCAGACCATGTGATGTAGAACATCCAACTAGATTTCAGTATTCTGCATCAGGTCAGTAAAAAGTGAATTCCTATTGGTTATTGTAAGTTGCTCTGATTTGCTATTTGCCTTTGGAAATTAAATTGTTAGTTCTCAGTTTCTGTTTGATGATGTGACCATGTGTTTTTTTTATGACAGAGCTGGTCTTGTGTTAGAGTTGAAGACAGAAATTGATGCCGCCATCTTCCGTGTTGATATGAAGGCTCAGGTTGATGCAGAGAGCACTGTCAACTTTGACACCATGATGACATTTACTAACTCTCCAGTGTCAATGTGTATTGAGCTGCATCAGGATGATCTCCCTTACAGGTAATGGATATGTGCTTTAGAAATAGTTATATGAAGGCTGCGTGCATATTGAAATTAGGGATGCACCGATACGGATACCAGTATCTGCCGATAGTGGGCATGTTCACGAGTGCTCTTACTTGTGAAAATGCCCCAATGCCAAAAACGGATACCGCCGCTAAATTTTCAAATTGAAAATTCAAAGTCGTGCTTGCTGGGGACCTTGTTGCAGCCTTCTTGGGAACCAGGTGGTGCCTATTTACAGCGCTTCCACCAGCCAGCACATCTCCCCTTTCTGAGACCCTCCGCACACCTCCTGAGACCCTAGGCCTAAGACATTAGGACCCCGGAACAGAGTGGCAACACAGAGTATGTAGCAAATTCATATACTGTTATTCTGCATCGCTGTATAATGTATCACTAGGATTTGTAGTGCTCTTTAGCTGGTGCCATTCTGCATTGCTGTATAATGTATTACTGAGATTTGTAGTCCTCTATAGTTAGGGATATTCTGAATTGCTGTACAATGTATTGGTGGGATTTGTAGTCCTCTATAGCTGGTGGTATTCTGCATTGCTATGTAATGTATTGCTGAGGTTTGTAGTCCTTCTACAGCTTGGAGTCTGTGGCAAAACTACCAGAGGCACAGCGGTTGGAGCTGCGACCAGGCCCTGGTGTTACACACTGTGCTAAAATCATTAGTCTGTATTTTTTTAGAAAAACTGTCACAGGACACAAGTAAACTTTTCAGACACTTAAAAGGGACTGAATACGTAATGAAGATGCCATGGCGGGTATCTTATTTTCTAATACACTGATGACTCACTGTTCAGTAATGTAGTACTTACAAAAGCCATTTTCAAACTTCCTTTAGAAAAGTGGTTATCATCCTGACAGTGGATTTATAGCAGCTGCAAATTTGTCCAGTTCATGCCTCCGCCGGAGAAGAACACCCAGTGCTTTCAGAGGGAGGGGGGGCATGTGACCTCCTTCCATGCTTGAGTGTAGCCCTGAACTCAGTCTCATAACAGAGGGAATGACGTCAGCCCTCCTTATATGACACCAGATTATATTGGGTAATCTGGTGCCAGTTGTGAAAGAAGGAGTGGTGGGGATCCCCTGGTAAGGAGAGTATCAGTGGGTCAGAGGGCCACTCTGGTCATGAGGGAAGATGGAGGAGGTGAGCACATTCAGTTCTGATGCGGTCTTATTTTGGGAACACAGAAGAAATCAAATAAAGTGTTTTCTCACCAATCAAATCGCTTTGTTCTCCAGGAACAATTATTCAGGGGGTTGTCCTACATGCATAAAATTGTCTCCTGAGCCAACTGAAAAAGGGTGGCCATCATTATATATTTAAAATTGGCCGTTTAAACTTGGCCACACAGTCAGAGTTTCATCCAACGTAACCAATTGCCAGCCTGAACAATCTATTCAAATTATATCCCCTGAGGTAGTACCTACATTTTGTTGATTTGACACAGACTACGCTTTATAGGAGTCATTTAAAAGTGGCTGCGCTGTCTTTTTTTTGGGGGGGGTGGGGGGTTGGGTGGTGGGGAGATAGCAACGGAGTCTCTGGAAGCAGCATTTTGTACTGGATTTACTGGTCCTATAAAAGGAAAAAAACCGTGTCAGTAAATGTATGTAGTATAGTGCAATCTGCCTGCTGAAAGGAAAATACATTTCAATAGCACTGGAAATGTTTGCTTCATGTGAGCTACAGTAAAAAATAATGTGAAGAGACTTATATCTGCAATACCAGAAGGTTATATCACAAACTTGCCAGCAGAGTTCTATGTTCACTGGAATCAAACCGACAAACTTATCATGACAGGATAAAGAGTTCAATTAAAAATGTTTATAGGGTGTTCTGTGCTATGATCAGCACAAATAATATTATTATTATTATTACAAAGGGATAAAATACATGTACTGTAGAGGTCAATATGGAATATGTGAAGTACAGTAAAATGAACACACTTATACAGACTAGCATCTAAGTGTTCTGCACCCATTATAATGCCAAACAATGTACTTGGCTTGCAGGTTTCCTTAGTAGTTCCCTATTACTATACTTGCAGGCTATCCCGGTAATTACTATACTTGCAGGCCACCTCATTGCTTCCCTATTACTATACTCGCAGGCTACCCCAATGCTTCCCTATCACTATATTTGCAGGCTACCTCATTGCTTTCCTATTTCCATACTTGCAGGCTACCCAGATGCTTCCCTATTACTATACTTGCAGGCTACCTCATTGCTTTCCTATTACTATACTTGCAGGCTACTCCAGTGCTTCCCTATTACTATACTTGCAGGCTACCTCACTGCTTTCCTATTACTATACTTGCAGGCTACCCTGGTGCTTCCCTATTACTTTACTTGCAGGCTACCTCATTGCTTTCCTATTACTATATTTGCAGGCTACTCCAATGCTTCCCTATTACTATACTTGCAGGCTACCTCATTCCTTTCCTATTACTATACTTGCAGGCTACTCCAATGCTTCCCTATTACTTTACTTTCAGGCTACCTCATTGCTTTCCTATCACTATACTTGCAGGCTACTCCAAAATTCATTGCTTTCCTATTACTATACTTGCAGGCTACCACAATGCTTCCCTATTACTATACTTGCAGGCTACCCCAATCCTTTCTTATTACTATTACTATACTTGCAGGCTACCTTATCACTTCCCTATTACTATACCTGGTGGCTGCCTCCATGTTTCCCTATTACTATACTTGCAGGCTACCTACCGGGATGCTGGCCAGAGACCCCCTGAAATGTGACCACCAGCATCCCCCCCTGCCTCAGGCAGAGTTTATGCTAGGGACACCCCTGTTCTTAGAGTACCTATTTAACAAATGTAAACAACAAAAATAATATAATGAAACGGTTTGTGAGCCCAATAAGAGAATATACACAATTCTTAATTCTGTAGTTCTAAAAGGCCACAGTTTGTTTGTTTTTTTAATTTGGGACTCATTCCTACAAAAGATGAAGCATACTTTAATCTAATACTGTTTCTTTAAGTCTTGCAGCTGCTTTATAGATAAATGCTATAAAATAATAATATTTGCAGTGAAAACCTTGAATCACAGCACAAAAGACACCTCTATCTCTTGCATTATGTAATAGTCCTCCGGGTCTGAATTCTGTAAAAGCCACCCAGAGTTACTGTATATTTCCCCAGACAAAATATGACTCATGCTCCTATTAGATTGCTGATAAAAGACAGATGAGTGACATGGTTTACCAATGGATTGCTTTAATCACAAGCCACAAAGAAGAGATATTACTGTTTACAGAGAATAGTACATCTGCCATACAGTAGCAAAAAGAATCATTTTAATGATACTGTCTCAGAAATAGATGGCTAGCCCAAAATACACTGTGCAGTGAGCAGTTTACAGATTGCAGCACCAATTGTCTACCAAGCATTCCTAGCAGTCTGCATTTGCATGCAGATCAAGTGATGTTGATCCTCCCTGAAAGAACTGAAACCCAATGAATGAAAGGGATGGGGCAGGGGCTGAAAGACGAAAAGGAGGTTCTCCAGTCTGGAAATGAGGCGAGTGCGCTGACTGTGCGCACACACAGATCCTTGAGTGTTACTGCACACAATATTTCCCCAAACACAAAGGACCCTGCATGGCCCCGAATCATTGGCTGTATGATGTATGTGATGCCTTACTTCAATAAATGAGCACAAGGAATCAACGCTAATACCCGAGTGCTGGTGATCTTCACTTTCTACAATCTTTTATTTGTCTTGGTGACCATTGTTACTGGGACCAGTGGTGTATTTTGGTTTTGTGATGCCCTAGGCAAGACTAAACCCGAGCACCCTCCCCATCCCTAATCTAAATTAGTCCCACCCCTTCCTGTTTAAGACATTTTGCATAACCTGTCAGTCTAATTCTGCAGTTACCAATCTTCTGCCTTGGCCGCTGGGCTCTGTAGCTTGCCCCGCTCTAGAGACATAACCCTGCACGGAGCTTATAGGCTGCACTTCCCCGGACTCACCACTACGGAGGTGCCGATGAGCACCATGACCATCTGGATCTCAGCCCTGGAGTCCTGCGAAAGCTCCTTCGCTGCCTGAAGTCAGAGATTTGGGTGCTGGTTTCCCAGGGAGGTCCGGCGCACGAACTGCCAGTGCATCTGGATGAAAGTCACACACACCAATACATTGCACAACATGTTGACCAGGAAGAGGAAGGAGCTGCAGCCGGCATATATGTAGGAGTAGGCGGCATAGGTGGACATGTTGGTCCCCCAGTCACAGAAGCACCAGGACCAGCAGTACTGGCAGTAACTTATGAATAATTTATAATATAATGTATTTATTTTTTTACGCCCCCATGGAAAGTGCCGCCCTAGGCAAATGCCTAGTTTGCCTTGCAGTAAATACACCCCTGACTGGGACAGCAAAGGAAAACCCCAAAGCAGTACACGACACTTAAAAGTAAGCTGATTGGGGCTTTACCCTTCCCTACTTTATCACATAGGATACAAATTCATTTTGTGTGGCCCAAATGCTTTTCCAAACCCATACAATACCTTGTAAAAGTAGCAGTAGCATAATCACTGTGCTGTACAGAGGCCTGAGAAAAAGCACCAGTGACCACTGACCAGTCTTTATTATATGAAGCTCCTACACAGAGACAAAGTTTTATACTGGATCAATGCACAGATCTGGACGAATACAGAAAGCACACCAAGGAAGAATACAAAAGACTTTTGTATTTAGGTAATATTTTCTTATCCTGGAGTTCAGCTTCAAGGCTAACAGACTTAAAAAAAGATATAACTGCACAGGACATCTTTTCTGTGTAAGAAAATATATACACTGTATATATATTTGTTTACTGTATAACTTTATATGAAAATGTATTAAAAGAGTGCAAATACCCGGCTCATTTTTAATGAAGAAGCAAGTTTCTGTACCATGAATCAATCAACTACATATAGTAATACATACATCAATTTTGAAAGAAAGAACAAGTTTGGAAGGAAAGCTGAAGAGTAAGGAGAGCAAGGTTAAGAAGAAGATGGAAGATAAGGATGCAGGGTTAGGGAAAGAACAAAAGGAAGAAATGAATCACAGGGGAAGTGAGAGAAGAAAAACAGAAAAGTACAGAAAAAAAAAGCTCACTCAAAAGGGTAGCAAAAGAAGAACAAAATAATCTTGTAGTAACATGGAGCATCTGTAGACAGGGTCATGTACATCATATAACTCAAAGTAATAAGATGTTATATTGGAGAATACTATTGGTTAATCCTAATGAAGGAACAGATGTTGAGCTCCGAAAGATAAACTGCACAATGACTATCCGTAAGCCCATCCGATCCATTGAATCCAAATCACTGCTTTACAATAATTTCCCCTCCTCTCCAATAGGTTTCAGCATAGATCCTTAGTGTAATTCCATCAAAACCTTTATTAAAAGCCAAGATTAAAAACACTTACAATAGCAATTGCTTTATCTTCCACGTAAAATCCTCCTCCCCTTCGTATCCGAACTGTTGCCCGCTGGTTAGATAAGCCGCACACAGTATATTGAAACTAGCCCATTTACAGATCACTGTCCAGAGCTCCTTCACTTCCTGTTGGTGATGTCAGAGTGTGTCCGCCCTCCAACATGTTTTATCACGTGACTTCTTCAGGGATGTGCTGAAACCTGTTGGAGAGGATAGAGGAAATTATTGTACACCGATTTGGATTCAGTGGATCGAATGGGAAGAAAGAACTAAAATCTTACTGTGAGTTTCATGACCATTTTGTGTGATGGTCCACCATATCTGATGAGTGTGGTGTGCGGAGGTGAGAGAGGGGTCATTCATGGTAGAACATATATACTCCAGCTGGAAAATGTATTATACTGTTGCATGCATCACTGAATGCATCCAAGGACGTCTGTTTGCGATTCTGGGCTAATTTTGACATCTCTGGACTAACTTATTTATTTTAAATTTTATTGATATAAATATATGTGTTTATAGCGCTGGGCATTTGGAAATAGTATCATTAATACTGATAAACTACTAAAACCTGCAGTAATAGGGCCCATTCAAACTTTGTACCTGTGGGTTGCATTAACGAGCATTGTGCCATGTGTTTATCTACATTGCATTAGGCAGCCCATTGAATTTGAATGGGCTGTCAATGCACAGGAATGGACCACAAAAAGGACATGCTGCATTTCTTCCAATGCAGCGCACCACAATGCACGGCAGTGCATTACTGCGAGTTGTGATGTGCTGCAACACACATGCATCGGAGCTGCATTGCCCTAAATTTCAGCCCCGTAAAAAGGTCCTGTTTTAACAGCATGTGCAAATATCACTGCTGAGAACTAAAATGTTCTTCTTTCTCCCTGCAGAGAGACATACATTATAACAGAATCCTTTCCAGAGGCGAACACGACCCATACAGTGCGCAAAGGAAGAAAATCCACAGTGTGGGGGCGAGATTTTCCCTTTCACCATGCTAACTCAGAGATGTGTAGGCAACTGAAGGCAGAAGAGGAGGTTGTTCCAGATTTGTGACAGCATGACATTGACAGACGTACATCTCCCACAGCCATCTACTGTGCCCAGCTAATTACCAGACATGACGGCTAGACTTGTTACATAGCTGCAGGATGACTTTGTAATTTCAAGAACTCAATAAAAATCAATTGTGAAGGAAAATCAGCTTGTGCTAGAGTCCCTCTATATAAAGCCGAGGCTTGTGCTGTGTTTTCAGTGTCCTGAATAAAGAAGAGAGAACAAGGCATTGTCCTCAAGACTCCAGGAACAGAGCTACCTAATGTTCCATTTAATAGCGCCTCAGTGTACACTGATGTTTCTTAAATTGAAAAGATGAACTGCGGGATAGGCAAATATCGTCTAAATACAAGAGGCATGTGTATTGTTTCTTCAGTCTTGGGGGTGGATTGATATAGCAAAATTTGCAGAGCCCTTCATCCTGTGAAACCGCATGTAGATTGGTTCTATGTGAACAGAACAAAAACAAATGTTAAGAGTAGATTTTCTTTCCAGGGCAAATATAAATAATTCATAAGATTAGCGTAAATCAGGACCCCCCACCGAAATTAAAGTAGTATTAAACTCACTTTTTAAAATAATAAATCCACATTAAACAAATATGCATTGCCCAGCAAAGTATTTCTTAAATTTAGGAACTTACAGTTGTCATGTTTTCAAACAGCTGACTCCAACTCTCTCATTTCCACTCCCCTGAACTTCCTGTCACGTAAATAAGCGACAGAGCAGTCTCCAGCAGCCATCTATCTACTAGCATGGAGAAGGGAAGAGGAGAGTTAGAAAGGGCAAGGGAAGTGGCTTGGCTTGCCTTGCCGTGTCTGTGGAGACACGCACAGCTTACTAGCACACACAAGGGTGGCTCCATAGGACCCAGCAAGGGAAAGGAGTTACTCTAAAACACGATATCAGGGACCAGCTGATTCTGCAGGAGGATCAAGACGCAGCATCCATTGTAAGTGATTTAATCAGCATGTGAAATAGCTTAAAAACCTTTTGACTTTTATATCACTTTGAATACTGATCACCTAGGATCTCCATGTATTGGCCATAATGCAATATTTTCCTGATTCACGCTAAATTTAGGAATAAATTATATTTGATCTGGAAAGAAAATATATTACTAACACTTGTTTTTGCCCCATTCACAGTGCATGCAGTTTTGCAGGACATTACACTCCTTGAGGCACTTATGTCCAGATCTGTGCAGTAATCCATTGTGCCTCTGTACAGGAGCTTCCTGTAGTAAAGACCAGTCACTGCTGCTCCCTCTCTAGATGCAGGGTGACTGGTCTTGTATCTGCCTTCTTCCTGTATTTTTTTTGGGCAGCCTGTAGTGGGTGGACCTGTTGTGCCCCTTCCACATTTCTGCTCTGTACAGTATAGTGCTGATATCCTCCTCTTCTGCCTCCCTATTCTAATCATTGAAAGTGTGATCTCTGTAACTTACAGTTGTGATGAGATGGCAATAACTCTTGATCTTAGTGAGTTGGCAGACAGTTGACTGAATCCATTTGAAACATTGAAGATCATTGAGAAGCTTAATCTAATGTAGCAAAGAACATGTGGCCCAGATGAAAACTGGAACATAATGAAGAAGGGTGGAGCTATCTACAAAGAGAAAAACTGAAGTATGGGGAGGGGTAAAGACAAATACCAGAGACAGATGAAGCAAATACTATTTAAAGGCATATCAGAATGCATATGTAACATCACACCACCACTACTTTTAGGGCCCATTCACACCTATTCCAGTGCGTTCCAGCACAATTAGCTGCTGGAACGCACTGGACCACATCCTGGCTGGCTCCCTGCGTTCTGGGGCGGGAGAGGTGCGTGACGTTGCATTCAAAATAGTATTATTTTTTGCAGTCGCACTGGACCGGAATGCAGGCATTGTTGTGCCACGTATTGTGGTGCGGGCGGTCATACTGTTGGGGG